CGAAAAAATATTTTTTTAATATATTTTCAATTTTACTTTATTCATCTTTCGGTGTACAGGTTCGAAATTTTACAAGTTCCAAAGTTACGAGTTCGAAGGTTTATGTGTTTGGAAGTTTACGGGTTTGAAAGTTTATGTTTTCATGTTTATTGTGTCTAAATTATTTATAAATATTCTTGAGAAGTTATTTTTCTTAATTTGCGTACCAAATACCGGAAGATAAATAAGATTACAACTTGTTTTCCAAGAAAATATTTTCCACGAAAAATAGTTTCGTCATACCAAACACTCCCTAAATGACTGTGTTATGCATTCAACCAATACCATTTAGTGCATCCAACTAGTGACAAACATAAATCTATATTTACTTAAAAGGAAAGAAGTCAGCCCTAAGATTTTGCGTATATATAAAATGCCATGTAATAACTTTAGGGCAAATTAGTTATTTTAGATAAAACTAGTTTCTCTTTTAACTAATTGAGTATTTTGAAAACAATTTAATAGGTATATATTATTTTTTAAAGAAACTGTCGTTTCTACTTTTTAAAAAATGACAATTGGGAGCACTATTTTCACATGTTTGCCCTAAAAATTTCATCCTCCAAATTTGGCGCTTCAATCCCACGATCTCTCATCACGATTTCAACTCCTCACCCACGAATTCTTCTGCGCTGGATTTCAGTAACATGGTGTCACAGTTTTATCAAATCAGTTTAATTTTTACAGTATATAGTTCTATTCTTTATCCATCGTGTCCATATCAAACTGAAACAAGTAATATTTCTTGATGAATATTGTTGCACATACAATGAGCTTCTATAGTTACATGCTGATCTAAAAGATAAACATTATCTCTAAGTACAATAATGATTTAAAATTCAAAAATTACAATATATATTTATCATTCCCCTCGAGCAATGCATGGTCTGGAAGAATGCAGAGCTTGTTGCGCAAAAACAATAACCGCGGTGAAGGAAGTGCCTAGGTTAATAAATTTGCAAGTTAATCTTGACTAGAGACATAATAAACTCGAAGAATACCAGCAACAACTTTTTCACGAACAAAATGAATATCAATCTCGACATGCTTGGTACGAGCATGTTGAACAGGATTTTGTGCCAAATATATGCTACTAATATTGTCACAGAAAATTGTGGAAGGCGAAGAAGAAGAAACATGAAGTTCCTTTAAAAGAGAATGTAACCATGTGATTTCAGCAGTCGCGTGAGCAACTGCACGATATTCAGCTTCAGCACTTGGTCGGGAAACAACATTCTGCTTCTTAGAGAACCATGAAATAATATTCGAGCCAAGGAAGATACAGTAGGCCGAAGTGGATCGACGAGTTATAGGGCAACCATCCCAATCTGCATCACTATAGCAGTGTAAACTGTCAATAGAACCACCAGGAATAAATAAACCGTGACTCAGTGAACCATGCAAATATCGCAAAATTCTTTTTACAGCCGTATAATGGATGTCTAAGGGAGAATGCATAAATTGAGATACTTGATTAACTGCAAAGGCAATGTCTGGACGGGTAAATATCAAGTATTAAAGACCACCAACAAGACTTCTATAAAGTGTGGGATCAGAAAAAGGGAAAGAATCATCTGAATGCTGTAGAGACTTAGGAGAAAGAGGAGTTGAAACTGGTTTGGAAGAAAGCAAATTTGCACGACCAAGGAGTTCTTTCACATATTTGGACTCAGATAGAAAATAACCTCCATCACGAGTAGTTATAGAAACACTCAGAAAATAATTAACTAATCCTAAGTCATTCATTGAAAATTCGGATTTAAGAGTCTGAATTAAAGATTGAAGTAAAGTAGTAGAAGAGGCAGTGAGGAGAATATCATCAACATATAGTAGAAGAATAGCAATGTCTGAGTTATGTTTATAAATAAAAAGAGAGGGATCAGACACGCTATTTTGAAATCCAGTACTTAGAATAAAAGAAGTGAACCGATGGAACCATGCCCTAGGGGCTTGCTTTAAGCCATAAAGTGCTTTGTTCAATCGACAAACATGATGAGGAAATTGTAGATGAACAAAGCCAGCAGGTTGTTTCATGTATACCAGTTAGTTAAGATTACCATGCAAGAATGTGTTCTTAACGTCTAATTGATGAACATGCCATTGCTTAGATGCAGCAAGGGCGAGAATAGGACGAATGGTTACTGGTTTCACCACAGGACTAAATGTTTGATCATAATCTAGTCCTTGGTGTTGTTTGTAGCCTTGGGCCACAAGACGATCCTTAAAAGGCTCTAGAGAGCCATCAGATTTTTGTTTAATACGATAAACATAACGACAACCGATAACATTAGCAGTAGGTGGTGCAGGCACAAGATCCCAAGTGCGGTTGACTATAAGAGCATTGTATTCTTCGGCCATTGCACGTCTCCAGTGATCTAATTTGTTGGCTTCCGTAAAAGAAGTTTGTTCAGGTGGAAGTGATGAAATGTGAGAGATTAAGGATGGGAGAATGCGAGGCTTAAGAGAGCCTGTTTGTTTGCGAGTGATCATGTGATGTGTTTTAGCATTAGAGGAAGATATGTGTGGAATTTAAGGTTGAGAAACAAAAGAGTCAAGGCTTTGAATTGGAGATATGTTGGTCGTTGTAATGGGTGAATGTGAGATAGTATGGTTAGGGTGGATGAAGAAGTGACTTGTCCAACATTTGGAGGAGAATGAGATGTGTTACGTTGCTGCACAATTGAAGTAGTGTTAGGAGTGTTTTGTCTAGTTGGTAAAGAAGTTTGATGTCTTCTAGAAGAATTAAAAATCTGATTTGTATTCCTAGAATTTATCAGATTAGGAGATAAGGGTTGAGATAAGATAGGAGGTAAAGTAGGAATAGGAGAAAAAATTCCAACATTTGTAGGAGATAAGAAACGTGAATATTTTTCAATATCTCCATGCTGAAAATTAGGAGATACGATTGAGGTTAGAGAAGGATTAATATTAATTAAAGAGAGAATTTTAAAGAGAGTAGAAGTGCTAGATTCAGGTAAAGTTGAGGAGAGAAGATGTAGATAAGGAAATATATCCTCATTGAACCTAACATGTCTAGAGATAAATACTTTATTACTGGAAGGATCAAAGCATATGTATCCTTTGTAGTTAGATGGATAGCCAAGAAAGATACAATGTTTAGAACGAGGACTCAACTTGTGGGATGAACAGTCATGTAAGTTTGGGTAACAGAACAACCAAAGACACGTAGATGATTGTACGTAGGAGGCTTGCCAAAAAGAACTTCAAAGGGAGTCTTAAAACGAAGCTTAGAGGAAGGAAGAATATTTAAAAGATGGACAACAATGTGCAGGGCTTCAACCCAGAATCGAGAGGGAAGTGATGCTTGAAATAATAATGAACGAACTATATTTAAAATAGTACGATGCATGCGTTCAGCTTTGCCATTTTGTTGATGAGTATGAGGACATGAAATGAGAAGAAAAACACCATTATCATTAAGGAATGATCAAAAAGCTTGAAGTTTAACAAACTCAGCAGCCCCGTCACATTGAAATGCTTTTAATTTCGTAGAAAACTGGGTCAATACATAGGCATAACATTGCTTAAATGTAGTAAAAGCATCAGATTTACGCTTGAGAGGAAAAACCCATGAAAACTTCGTCAAATCGTCATGAAATAAAATATAATATCGAAATCCAGTAAAAGAAAGAACATGAGAGGTCCAAATATCACTATGAATTAACTCAAATGGAGAAGAAGAGAAAGAACAAGAATCCATAAATGACAATTTTTGGTGTTTGCCAAGGTGACAAGCATTACATAAATTGTATAAACCTTTAAATGAAGAACAAGGTAGCTTATTAACCCTAATTAAAATAGCTAAAATAGCTGAGCTTGGATGTCCTAAACGACGATTCCAAAGATTTGGAGAGACATGTGTAGTAGCAAGAGCAGGACGACGAGTTGCAGGAAAGCCAGCAGAAGAAGAAGTAAGGGCATAAAGTGGTCCAAAACTATTGCACCGAAGGAGAGGCTTCTTCGTCTTGAGTTACTTAATGGAAAAACCAAAAGGATCAAATTCCATAGAACAATTATTATCTGAAACAAATTTACGAATGCTTCGTAAATTGGTGGAAAGATAGGGAACAACTAAAATATCTCTAAGAGAAAAAAGAGAATCAGAAGTAGAGAAAATACTATATCCAATGTAGGAAATATGAAATTGAGTTCCATTACCCATAACTACACTATCTGAGCTATTGTATGGAGTAATAAAGGATAAATTGGATGCATTTGGAGTCATGTGAGAAGATGCTCCACTATCCACAAACCAAGAAGCATCACCAGGTGAAGAACATGAGTAGTTAGAACTAATATCTGAGACAAAGGCCTTAGAATTTAGAGAAGGACAATCTCGAGCAGTGTGGTGTGGCTGATAGCACAGTTGGCAGTAAAACGTCACATTATTAGGTTGAGATGGATTGAAAGCAGCAGGATAAGAAATTGGAGGAAGACCTAAGATGGAAGGAAGACGGGGACGTGGAGTGAACTGTTGAGGCCCAACATTAAAAAATTTGGTATTCCCTTGATTATAGCGACCTCGACCACCATTGTTATGACGACCACGTCCACGACCATAAGAGGGAGACGATTGCTGCTTGGCCATAAAAGCAGTGGTGGAATTATTCATAGTAGAATTAGAGAAACTACTTAATTGGGCTTCATGAAGGAAAATTAGAGAGCGTGCTTCAATAAAAGTAGGAAGAGGAACACGAGTAGAGATAGAGGTGCTCACCGACATATATTCTGGAGTTAATCCAGAAAGTATTTGTAGAACAAGATCAGATTCAGAGATTGGATTACCTATGGACGTCAACGCATCTACAATGGATTTGAGATGATGGACATATTAATTAATTGAAATGTTACGTTTCTTAAGGTTATGAAACTGGACTTTGAGTTGAAGTGTTCGAGAACTAACTTGATCACGGAAAAAGTACTCGATTTGAAGCCACGTGTCTGTAGAAGTGAGAGAATGATTTGGCTTGATAATAGCTTGGAGAATCTCTTGGGAAATTGTTGCTTGAATCTATGAAAGAACAAGGGAGTCAAGTTGAATCCACTGTTGAAAGGAAGTGTTCTGGAATTACCATCATTATGAAGAATAGTAGGCTCAGGACAGGGAAAACTTCCATCAATAAAGCCATAAACACCATGACCTTTGAAAACGGGTAAGAAAAGCTCTCTCCATAACATATAGTTTGTATAGTCAAGAACAATAGGGACAAGATTTTTAATGTTTGAGACGGAAATAGCAGAGGGAGAGGATGGAAGAATGGAGGAAGCATTAGTGATTCAGGTTGGGGAAGAAGGAACTGATTCCGTAGAGGTGTTGGAAGCCATGAGTCAACAAAGGAGAGAAAACCTAGACTTCTGATACCATGAAATAAGTAATATTTCTTTATGTAATATTGTTGCAGATACAATGAGCTTTTATAGTTACATGCTGATCTAAAAGATAAACATTATCTCTAAGTACAATAATGATTTAAAATTCAAAAAGTACATTATATATTTATCCCACTTAGTACAACAACAACAACCCAGTATAATCCCACTTAGTGGGGTCTGGGGAGGGTAGTGTGTACGCAGACCTTACCCCTACCATGAGGTAGAGAGGCTGTTTCCAAATAGACCCCCGACATCCTTCCCTCCAAGAACTTCCCACCTTGCTCTTGGGGAGACTCGAACTCACAACCTCTTGGTTGGAAGTGGAGGTTGCTTACCATCAGAGCAATCCCTCTTGCCTATCCCAAAAAGAATACAAATAAATTCATGCTTTATATGTCCCAATTTTTCTAACACTCTTTTCACCTGGGACATACAAAGTGTTTGATCCATAAATTTGACAACTTAAATTGGAATTCAACTTGACAAATTTTGTCTTTTGGTGTGAAATATCTTATGCAACCAACTTTCTTACTATAATTGTATTATTTTGTCTACTAGCACTATATGATAAATAAGCTAGATTAACATCTTGAGCTTCTTATTCTGTCAAACAGAGTCATATAAAAAGGGTAGATAATGCAATAGTCTCTGGCATCTTCAATTTTAGAAAATTGTTTAAAAAAAAGCATCTTCAATTCTAGCATCGTATGCCTTTGGGATAGTTTTATTTGATGTGCATTGGATACTTGGGCCGGAGCTTGAAGGACATATGTTGAAGCACCTTTACTTTCAATATATTGCTTTTTAATATGTAGTCTACATATAATATACTTTTTGCGAAAGTTTGTTAGAAGGGAGAAGTGATTCCATAAGCTCAAAACGTTAGAAAGGTTTCTCCAGATAGACGTGCATGAGAAACAAAAATGCTTTAAGATGACAAACTCAAAAGCAACAGATTGTCACATAGTTAGTAAGAATCTTGAGAAATGATTTAGTGAAGATTTTTGTGTATTCTTATGGTTATTGGACAAACAGTTGTGCACTGCAAGTGTTGCAGTTCTGGATAGTTCTTTTTCAATTGAGATTATTTTGATGGATGAAAAGGTTATATTTTTAAACTTTAGACTTAATTCTATTTTGAACTATATATATATCTGTTAGTATACTACAATCATATAATAGATTGTTTTTGAAAAAAAAGAAGAAGCATTTTTTGTCATAATTCTAGACTAAAAAGGATTGACATCCTTACTACTAATTTCATGACTATAAAGTTCCCTTCTCCTTGTGATTGCAGAAGAGATTGATTGGGAGGGGAAAATCAAGGACAGATTTTTCTTTAAAAGATGCAATGACTAAAAATATCCCAGCTATTGTCCAGAACTTCTCCAATTGTTAATTACGCATAAGTCTGTAAAAGTTTCATACTCAGAGGAAACATGCCTCCACTCAGTTAATGTCAACACTCATTGTTATAGAGATGCAATTTAGCAAGCATATCATCAATTGCCCTGAAATAGAAAGGACAAATCAAACCTTCAAGAACCATCAGAAGTTTTGATATGATCTTTCGATCTAGGATGTTTTCTATGTACCATACAAGAAATAATACATTTTTACGTACCATTCTATGTTGAAAGAAAAGAATCACTGCAGCTAAAGTTTATTTTTCAATAAAAAAATTACTCAGGGGTATTTTTTTATTAGTTATATTGTGTTCATTTTTGCAGGTTACATATTGACTGTATGTGGTACTAGCACTTGATGCTCATTCAGTTAAGTGATTGTCAATGGATGGAACTAGCATGATGAGTTCGAGATGCAAAAAGAGGATAATGGAGTTGAACTACTGTTTTAGTAATTTTCTCAAGAGTTGCTCGATGATTTTGTGCACAAGGAAATTGAGAATTTATGCAATTTATATTTGCATTAACCCGTTGATTAGGAGGTGGAACATTGAGCATGTTTTTGCTGATTATTGCTTGATTTCTTAAGACAATGATAATTCTCTATTTGAGTATAATTACGGGGATGATTTTTCAAGGCTATTTTTTGTCTATCATATTTGCTGTTACACATGATCTATTTGCTGCATGTCATGCTCCTTTGAAGGATGGGAAGTGATCAATATTAAAGCGACTATGTGATCTGTGTTGTCGCTGGTTAAAATAGAATTTCATGTCATTTGGGGCTGATTGAGGTAAACGTTATTCTACATTTAATCTACTTCGTACATAATTACTATTTTGAAATTGGAAAGAATGCTATCTTTTGCCATTATTACCATGGAAAAGATTATTTTCATCAACAACAAGACTGTGGTTGCTCTTTCTGTTTTCATTTTGTTGGATTTAATTAGGTAATAGTTAACTATGATAACAACATAAAGTATTATGACCATCTTATGTTGTTAGAGAGTAATCACAAAGAGTAGCGGAAAAGAAGATGAGAATGTAAATAATATGTTATATGGAATATGATGGGTTTAAAATCAACTTTAAACTGAAGCTAAGCAGTGTGGGAATAAGTAACAACTATTTTACTTATGGTCTTACATTTTTGCTAATAAATAGAGAACCTTTTATTGCTTTATAGCTGGGTAAATTGTTGTCTATGCCTTTGTTGATACCTGATTTTACACTATAATATACCCTTATTAGTGAGTTTTTTAATTAGATACTCGATTTAGCAGCACACACTAGGGTGGTCACTATTTAAAAAGGAAAGAGGAACAAATATTTTATCGATCAATTCATCTAATAGTTCGTAATATACATCTGTTTCTACAGGTAACAAAACTTACCTTAAGTATGCAATACCGAACTTTGTTCATCGGCTACAAAGGAACAAGTAGCTTCTGATAAAGGTGTTTTCGGTTAGAACAACAAGATCACTGCTACATCAATAATTGGCACATAATCTCGATGAGAATTAGTGTTCTTAGATTAGGTATTTCTAGGATCTTGGTTAGCCATATGAGTCTTCGTTTATATTATCGACCAACATGATTAACTTGCCCATGTGCTCATATAATTCTGATCCAAAATACATCACAACGGAAGGTGATGTCTTAATTACTGTGATTATAAATATTTTTAATTGTTCTTTATTTTTGCTGATCAGAACTTTAGATGAAAAATTTTGTATTTTCAAGTGGACTAATCTTTCTAAAGTCAAGTATTTCTGTAGCATTACTCCAGTATGATCTAACATCTCTTGAAAATTGGTGGTCCCTGACAATAATTTTATAGAGAAAACTCGATTAAATTCATCTAATTTTTTTTGTTTTAATTCTTTTGAATATTGTTGCTAAATGTAGTCTGCAATTTATAGACGTTTCTAATATCTTTCTCCCCTATATTTTCCTTTGAAAGTAACTATACTAGTATTATTTAAATGAAGAGTCAATTGAATGTTAGACCCACCACCTTGCACGCAATTAAAGGAATATTGAACACCTGTTCTCCAGGAACAGTTTGCATCAAACGTGGCACTATTATTGTCCCGTTAATGATACGCACTAATTTTTCACATTATTTTATTTCATTGCTACAATTAACTAACTTCTTCTTTTTTTTCATAAAAAACGAAGATCCTGCTAGCTTCCATGATGCCTTAGTAACATGCTTTACAAATATTATCCTCTCTAGTCCACATTATCTAATGTTTTTATTTTTTTATTCTAAAATAAGTACTATATTTACATAATCAAAAAATATTTATTTTATTGTTTCAAGTTTACCCTTATTTACCCTGATTTTCAAAAAGTATTTCTCAATTATAATTTCCTAAAAGTACATTTATTTAAAATGAATTCAAATAGTATGTTTAAGTCCACTCGAGACATCGTGAACTGAGACAATACATCTTCATTTACAAGCTGGAAAAATGATACACTTTCACATAGTTAAAAAACACACACACACAAAAAAATACGAATAAAGTCCTCGAATTGTTCCCCCAACTTTGTATGTGTGACAAAAACTATCATCAACTTGTGGAAAAAAATAACATCAAGTGAGTACAAAGAATATCATCCCAATCTAACGATAATCTAATCTACTCTTAAGTTGGCTACTCGCGCGCTGTCCGTTGATGTGCAGAGCATCTCACATCGTACGGATGACGTTATGCCACGTCAGTTCAGTTAAAAAACACATCACGTGGCACGCACGCGAGGGACGGTTATAGCTGGGGTAGGTATTAACCCCCTATATTTCCAGAAACTTCTAATGAATTCGTGGCTTACAACAGAAGAGCCTCCACCATCGAACACGTGTCCTTCTGGGACCAATAAGATCCGATGTGGCACTATGAATTAACCTGTTAATGATACGCCCCCGATTTTTTGCATTATTTTATTTCCACCACCTCGATTAATTCAATTTTTTAAAACTTCATCTTCTAGTAGCTTCCAGTTGTTTCTGGAACCAAAATTTTTACAGAGAATATTGCTTCGATTTTCCGAAGCAATGAACGGAAATGGTGAAAGAGAAAAGGAAGAGGAGAAAATGGAGGAAGAGAATGATGAGGAGAAGAGGTATAAGGTGTTAATGTGGGGATATCTTCCCGGAGTATTGACTCATAAGTCGCCGTTAACTTCTCCGGTGTCTGTTCAGTCGCCAGAGACCGGCATTGATGTTCAATCGTGGAAGGATGTTTGTGGTGGAGGTTGTGGTTTCGCCATGGCCATTTCAGGTTATATACGTATTTTTTTTTTCTACGAATTTGTGTTCCTAGGCGAATTTTTCTCTATGTTTACGGATTTATGAATTAGAAAAAGTAGATCTCTTACTTCTTCTAGCTTTGTGTGGCAAGCTTTTCATTGATATTCATATAGTGAGATCTGCGACTATGAACGTTTGTAGCAAGTTTGACTTAGATCTTAGCAAGTTAGACGTGAATTTTTCCTCGTATTAATGTAGTGAATCAATAAAAGAAAGTTAATTTGGAATAGCTAAATGTGACGATTAGGTAGACGCCTGCCTAATCCTATGTGTGCCTTCATTTTTATTTGTAACAGCGTCACATTGGTTGAGGTATGAGGCTTCGATAGAGTTAAGTTTATGGGTTCTGAGTTCTAGAAAAGGTAGCTTATTGAGTACTAGATAAATTATTTATACATATTAAGTGGATTTTTTAACATAAATGTAGGGTTTGATCCTAACACAAATACATGGTTTGGTCCATACCTACTAGGTGCTGTAGAACCCCTAAATAGAAGTAATATATACTTGGCCGATTCCCCGATATTAGTATAGGTTTTTTAATAGGTTCTTGCCAAATTCAAATATTTTTTCAATATGACAATAAATACATCTTTGAAGTTAGACATAGGAGCTATGTTGCTCGAACTTTTCTAAAATATTGTCTTAACCGTATTGGATCCTCCAAAAATGAACTACTTTTTGATGATCCGACATGCATTCCACGTTAATTTTTTGGAGAGTCCGAGCAACATCGCCTAAGAGTCCTAAAATCTTAATGAAAGGAGCTTGGTATCCATGTGTTAGAGGTAGAAAATGGCCCTTATGGCAGGGTTTACCGGGTAATTCAACGGGACCCTATCTCGTCGTTTGGTCAGCTTCTTAGTCCTTCTGGTGTATGACACATACCTCTATATCTTTTTCTATTTGTAGTTAGGGGACCTTTGCTCATGGTTGAGGGTATGAGTTGTGGGCATAAGCGGTTGTCTAATTATATAGTCTTGGTTAAATTTGTGGTTGAGTTAGGTTAAAGGTTCATTTTTTAATATGGTAGCAAAGTTAGACTCATCTTTTATTTTTGGTTTACCTAATGTTGAGCCCTATTTTATTTTTTACACGTTTTAGTCATCCACACGTAGGTAGGTGGGTGCCAATTTCATATTGGTTGAGGTATGAGTTGTTGTCCCTTTATTTGATCTTAAATAAATCTCACCTCATGACTTCTCGCACGCCGTGTTCTATGCAAGCTTGGTTGTTGGAGTGAGTTTTGAATCTTCCTTCAGCCCTTACGTAGATGCCATAGTGTTGGTCATGTGGTTGATTATCTTATAAGTAGAAGACAATTTGTTCTATGAATTCTAGAAACCATTATTCTTGTAATACCTCCTAACCATATACCATGGCTAATTTAGCTTACACAGTTAGATTGTTCCTACATCTAGATGAATAGTGCAAACTTTAGGTTAATTCTCTACCTTGACCGAGAATTGAAAGCTCTAATTGTCTCCCAACGGGGCCGACATCTATTGAGTGAATCCATAAAAGCATGCAAGGGCACTTGGCAAAGGGGCTCTAGGTTGCCCTGCGCCATCATGCAGAGGGGCTCTTGCTTGTAATGCTCCTAACCATATACACATCCAAAGGGGCTCTAGACTGCTCCGTACCATCATGCAAATAACAAAGTTTTAACCACAATTATAGCCCATAGGCTAAGAGCATTTTTTGGCTAGCTGATTATAAATAAGTGATAAGTTTAAGTTCTGAAATTTATTTTATAAATAAACAGCGTAAATGTTTGGACAGAGGTGTTGAAACAGGTAATAAGCCGTTGATATGTGGTAAAAAGTGCGGATAAACTTTTTTTTCTTTCAAAAACGACTAAAATACGCTTGAAATTTTTACAAAGAATTACAAAATTTAAAAGAATATTTGTAAGAAATATGAGGAATGACAAATATAGAGGGGAGAGGAAGTTGGGAACTTTGTTTCGGGAAAGATATTTTGAGACAACAACAACAACTATGCCTCAATCCCTAATAATGTTGGAAATGATATTTTGACAATTAAAAAATAATATGAAGGACAAAATATGGTGTTCATTGATTTAGATGAAACATATAGTAGAGTATCACGAAAGGTCCTTTGGTGGGTAATGAAGAAAACAATTCATATTAAATATATACATGTCATAAAGGTATGTATAAAGGGGTCGTGTGTGAACCATAATACGAGATACAAAGGAGTTTCTCATACCTGTAGGTCTACATTAAGGATCGACATGGAGCCCCTATTTTTTACCCAAGCTACGGATGAGCTAATCAACATAACACAAGATGAGAACCATAGTGTTTTCTATTTACGGATGATATTGTGTCAATTGATGAAACTAGTGAGAGTGTCAACCAAAAGCTTGAACTACATAGAAGTACCTTACTAAGTAAGAGTTTTAGAATAAGTAAAAGTAAGACTGAATACATGCATTGCAAGTTTAGTCAGCATAAGAAGAGCGAAGTTAAGGTGAGACTAGAAGGGTTTGCTGTCCCAAAATGCAAACAATTTGGATATCTAGATTCATTGTTTCAAGAGAAGGGAATGATGATGAAGATGTTCGTAGGATTAAAATCAAATGGTTGAAATGCAAAAGTGCTATTAGGGTGTCATGTGATGAAAGAACGCTCTATAGAATAGCTATAAGACCGACCATGATATATGGTAGCGAATGTTGGGCCTCTAAAGTTTAGCATATTCACAATATGAGTGTTGCAGAGATGCGAATGATTAGATAAATATGTAATCATAAAAAGATTAGATAAGATTAAGAATGACCACAGTTGCCAGAAGGTGCAAGCAGGATGCATTGAGGATAGAATTAGAAAAGGCCGCTTGAGATGGTTTAGTCATATCTTGCGTCAATTTATAAATGCACCAGTTCGCAGTGTTATCAAAGGTTAAAAACGTAAAAAAGCTCTAAGGTCTATTGGGGCTTTAAGTGCAAAGCGCAAATAAAGTGTAGGCTTTAATGAAGAAAGGCACAAATGGAGAAAAACGATAAATATGTATGTGTAGTCCAAGACTAATATCTATAAGCATGAATACCAAATATATGGACAAAGAAATTGAAGAAAATTACAATAATGTGAAATATCAATTGTTGATTGTCGCCTCTTCAAGATTACGCTCATTGGCAAGGAAAGGTATGTCTTAGAGCCTTAATGACAGCACTGAAGTGCCCATTGAGCGAGGCGAAGTGCTCAATATGTTTTGAACCTTGCTTCAGGGCTTAAGCGCGCTTTTGATGACACTACCGGTTTGTATTGGAATAATGGTGAATGAAGATGTTTAAAGGGAATGGGATAGACCTAAAATCACATGGACGATAATTGTCTTGAGAGACTTACCAATCCTTAGCATCATTGCAAATTTTGCTAAAGATAGAATACAATTATGGAAGAAAAAGATCAATCTAGGTGATATCTACTAATTGAGAATAGGGTATAGACTTGTTAGGGAATTTCTACTATTATTATTATTATTATTATTATTATTATATTTTTTTTTACTTTTATTTTATTTAGTATGATGATTGTTAGCGGAAACGTAAAAGAAAGAACACAAGATTTAACGTGGTTCGGATCAAAATAATCCTACGTCCACCAGAGAACAGTTGCCTTTTTAATATTAACAAAGGAAGGGGAGAGTTCCCAATTACACTTAAGAGAATTTCTCTCTTAACTCTCTACTTACTACAATGTGTTGTATTATTTTTGGGATGGTTTCTACAAATGAAGGAGTGCATCTATTTATAGAGGTAAAGACCTCCTCTTGATGTCATTG